TCCTCTCTCTCCCCCTCCTCCTATCCCCCCCCGCTCCTCCCTCCTACTTCTCCTCTCCCCTTTTCCCTCTCTCCTCCTATCCCCCCTCTCCTCCACCCCTCCCTCCTTCTACTTCCTCTCCCTCCCTCCTATCCCCTCGCCCTTTTCCTCCTCCTCCCTTCGCCCCTCTCCTCCTCCCCTCCCTCCTTCTACTTCCTCTCCCAACCCCTCTCCCTCCTTCCTCCTATCCCCTTCTCCCGCTCCTCCTATCCCCTCGCCCCTCTCCTCCTCCTCCCTTCCCACTCGCACGCGCTATTCTCCTCCCATTCCTCTCTTCCCGTAAATCTCTCTCAGATGGATCGCCCGCGTTTTGCATCCGAGGGGACTTGATGATGCCGGCGCTGGAATGCTTGCAGTTTTTCACCAGGGCGCTTTCATGCAGACGGCCATCATGCGTAAAGGAAAATAATAAAAAATAATAAAAAGAACCATTAAAAAACACGCACGCACTCGCTCTCTGTATCTACACCTCCTGTATTTTTATTTCTGTGTGTGTGTATGTGTATGAGTGTGAGTGTGTGCGTGCACGCATGTGCGTTTGATTGTTTGTGTGTGTGTGTGTGAGCGCGCGCGCGCGTATGTCTGCCTGCCTGTCTATTTCTTTCACACACACACAAACAAATATCCATGCGTTGAGGCATAAAATCGGCACACACAATACAAATAAAGCGACGTATACAGGCAGAAACACAAGCACGCACACACACACACACACACACACGCAAGCCTACTGCTCTCGCCTCGCTTCCCAGGATCATGATGAAGGAGAGCAAACATGCACGTCCAGGCGCAAGCAGAATAAACATCACTCCACGAGATTGGCACACTCCACAGGCACCCACCAAGGGCTTCTGCTGGTAACTCCAAAGGCACCGACCAAGAGCTTCTAGAATTCAGGGCTAACTTCAAGAGCACTGAAATCTAGAAGCTCTTAGGCAGCCTAAGAGCTTCTAGGTTTCTGTGCTAAACTTCAAGAGCGCCGACTAAGAGCTTCTGCTGGTAACTTCAAGAGCGCTGCCCAAGAGCTTCTAGAATTCAGTGCTAAACTTCAAGAGCAACGACTAAGAGTTGTTGGTAATTTCAAGAGCACCGACCAAGAACTCTTAGAATCTTGTGATACCTTCAAGAACTTCTGGGATTCGCGAACTTTTTCCCGTCTCTGCGCCGCTGCCGACACAAGAGGAAAACGGCGTCAAGGAAAAAAAAAAAAAAAAAGATGGCTGACCTACTTACAAAAGTCCTCCCGTGTGCTAAACCATCGTGCGATTTAACGGCTGCCGACGCCATAAACATTCGCCAGGGAAGCAAAACAAGTCGCAATTGTACAACAACGCCACCTACCCCTTCAGAACCTCTCTCGCCCCTACCCCAACTCCTTCCCCCCTACCCCTTACCCCTTACCCCATCCCTACCTGGATCCCTACCCCAACCTCGACCCCCACCCCCTACCCACAAGAGCCATGATCAGGCTGCATGACCAAGCGATTCACCTCGGACGCGCGTAGGCCGTTGCTATGGAAACGGTCGCTACACCTTGTTGCAGAGGTGTCGGGTCTTTCAAGCAGCCGCTCCCCGACCTCTTCTGAGCTGGGGGTGTTGGGGCTGTGATGGGGGGAGGGGGTGTTGGGGGGGGGAGGGCTATCAAAGGCTCTCTTGTCTCGGGGGAAATCTTATATAAAAATGCGAAAATGCGGAATGGCGAGGAAAGGTGGAAGACAAGGATAAGAATTGCAAAAAAACATCAAACCTTTAAATAACGCATATAGAAATTTGCAAAAAAAAAAAAAAAAAAATGGAAATGAAAAAGAGGAGGAGGAAAGAAGATGATAAAGAAGATAAGCGAAACAAACAGATAAAGCGACATCCGTAAGATACCCCGCGTCCACAAATTTACCTTCCTCGCAAAATAAATTCCGAGAGACCCGGATTCTTTTCTCTTCTCCCTTCTTGGTTCCCCGGTTCCGTCGGTCGCTACCTCACGCAAAGTCAACAGCGTGAGAAGGGGGGGGGGGGGGATTAAAATCTGTACGTGCATGTGTGTTTTCGCGCCGCCTACTTGTACCTCAACCCTCCAACCCCCTCCCCAACCCACAGCCAATTCCCTAACCCCATCCTTGTCCCCATCACCCCCTCCCCCAACCCCTATCACCCCTTCCCAACCCCCCCCCCCCCCTCCCCAAGGAGAGAGTGTGCTTGTGAGGTTCTTTGTTAACCGACCCACACACGCGCGCTGATCAAACACGAATTCCCCTTCGCACATTATGCTCCGCTCCCTTCCAACTACCGGAGGACGACGGAAGGAGGAGGAAAGAAGGGGCTGATGAAGGGGAAGGAGGAAAGAAGGGGCTGATGAAGGGGAAGAAGGAAAGAAGGGGCTGATGAAGGGGAAGGAGGAAGGAAGGGGCTGATGAAGGGGAAGGAGGAGGAGGAAGGGGCTGATGAAGGAAATGGAGAAAGAAGGGGCTGATGAAGAGGAAAATGAGGAGGGGAAGAGGAGGAGGAAAGAAGGGGCTGATGAAGAGGAAGATGGAGGAAAGAAGGGGCTGATGAAGGGGAAGGAGGAAAGAAGGGGCTGATGAAGAGGAAGATGGAGGAAAGAAGGGGCTGATGAAGAGGAAGATGGAGGAAAGAAGGGGCTGATGAAGAGGAAGATGGAAAAAGAAGGGGCTGATTGAAGGGAGGAGGAAAGAAGGGGCTGATGAAGAGGAGGAGGAAAGAGGGCTGATGAAGGGAAGGAGGAAGAAGGGGCTGATGAAGGAATGAGATGGAGGAAGAAGGGGAGAAGGGAAGGAGGAAAGAAGCGAGGAAGAGGAAGAAGATGGGAAATTTAGAGGAAGGGGACGATAAAGAGGAAGGCACGGGAAGAAGGAGAAGAAGAGAGGAGAGAGAAGAGAAAGAAAAGACGAAAAAGACCAAAACCCATGGCGCAATAACAAAAAAGGATAGAAGGGATGATAAAGAGAAGGGCAGAAGATGGCAAAGAAGAAGGGAGAAGATAAACCGGAGGAAGGAGAGAAAGGAAAGACAAAAAAAAGAAAAACCCAAGCAGCAATAGCAAAAAAAAAAGAGAAGAAAGGATGATAAAGAGAAAGAGAAGGATGATAAAGAGAAAGAGAAAGAAAGCAAAAGAGGAAAACACGGAGCAATAACAAGCAGAAGGACATCCATAACACCGACAGGAGGCCGAGCAGGAAAACATAAGAGATGCCGAAAGTTTTGCTTGGCAATTCCCAAGTGCGATGCTTTCCTTTGCACTCACTGCGGTATAAGGAGTATGAGGCAATGCCCTGACTCCAGACCAGATATAAGGGGGTGATCTGACGCCGGGAAAGGTATAAGGTAGTATTCTTACTTCACGTAAAGTGTCCTGACTCAGGGCGAAGTATAAGGAAGGGTCCTGATTCTAGGTAAGGTATAAGAGAGTTTCCTGATTCAAGGTAAAGTATAAGGAAGAATCCCGATTTTAAGTAAGATATAAGGTAGTGTCCTGACTCAAGGGAAGGTATAAGGAAGGATCCCGATTCTTAGTAAGATATAAGAGTTCCCTGACTCATGGCGTAGTATAAGGAAGGATCCCGATTCTAAGTAAGATATAAAGGAATTCCTGGACTCATGGCGAAGTATAAGGAAGGATCCTGATTCTAGGCAAGATATAAGAGAATGTCCTGCCTCAGGGCAAAGTCTAAGGAAAAATCCTGATTCTAGGTAAGGTATACGACAGTATCCTGACCCAATGCAAGGTATAAAGAGGTATCCTGACCCAATGCAAGGTATAAAGAGGTGTGCTGACTGACTGACTGCAGCAGGCGACCAGGAGGAGCCCCGAGCAGCAGCGAGAGCGATCCCGGCCTTGCTTGGGTACGGCCGCCAGAGACGAACGCAGGAACCGTGAAAAGTGTCGCTGGCATGAGGGTTATTATGCTTTCATAATGGTGTTCTCCCTCTCCCTTTGACTCCCTCCCTCCTTCGTTATTACTCCTTCGCGCTCCTTTGTCCTTCCTATTATCCACTAACTCATTCTTTCACTGCCTCGTACCCCTTTCTACTTCCATTCGTCCATGCTGAGCGTTGCCTACATTATACTCAAGCTACATATCCCTCAGAACAGTCAAAATGTCCCGAGAAACGAGGCTCAAGGATTCCCGAGAAAGCAGGATTAAGGATTCTCGAGAAAGCAGGATTAAGGATTCCTTAAGCCCTACACCAAGACCTTCGCCCCCTTGAGCCCGACGTGCCGCACGCCCAAGCCACCCGCCTCGCACCATGGCATGTCTTCGTGGCATGGTGCCCACTGACCTACTGAGTGCCAATTCCCTTGCGCAGAGTACCATTAACTTGTACATCATGTCTCAGCAGCTGAGATATTCGCAATGACCTGGTACCCCAGAGGCCCGAACTGACCTGACCTGACTTGACCTGTAACACCATCAATTCTCCCAAGGATGCAAGTAATAAAGCCATGAAAATATCGGATATTCATAAACAGAAAATATAAAATGATATCAGAGGTGTTGTTAAAATTCTCTGCCTGACTTTATTGCACCGGTGTCAATACTCTCTCCGTAATTAGCCGTCTATTGCTGGGCTTTCTAACATCCATTCCATAGGCTTAATGTGGATTCCATCTCGTGTGAGTGCATGGCTGGTTGGTCGGTTCTCTCTCTCTCTCTCTCTCTCTCTCTCTCTCTCTCTCTCTCTCTCTCTCTCTCTCTCTCTCTCTCTCTCTCTCTCTCTCTCTCTCTCTCTCTCTCATTCTAAACCTAAATTTTCTTTTTCCCTTCTCATCTCTTCGAAAATGACACAAAATACAACTTACATACATACATACATAAACACTATACACAACGACACACGCACGTACGCACACACGAGCCCAAACACAAACAAACGCACACACACACACGCAGCCACTCTGGACTCCCCCACCGCGACGCTCCCGACGGACGCCCGACGAGTCCTAC